TATGTTTTTATTTCGTCAGTCGGATAATTCATAAGACTTTTTTAGCATTATTCGTTTGATTTATATATATCTCACTTTGTTTTCAATAGAAATCACTGTCTTGCATATCTGCACTATCGTTAAGAGTCTGAAAAAAGGATTAATTTAAAATTCCAGCAGCAGCATTCTTTGATCTATCGGCAGTCTATATTACTGACTTAAGTAACCTGTCGTACACTGACTTATTGATAAATGCATCACATAGAAGTTAAATTATATGAAAAGGTAGAGAGTTTCAAATTTTTTAAAAAAGCAGTGGCAAGATTTGAAATCTGCCGAGGATGAATGAGGCTTGATCTCATTCCTGATTTCATTTTATAAAATTTTTTATTTTTTGGTTATATGTAAGTAGAATATTTGCGGTTATATGTAAGTATAACTTTTATTTTTCGGTTATATGTAAGTAAAAAAATATTTGCAGAACCAGTAAGGAGCAGTTACAATGAAGTATTGCAGTGGCTTTTTCGTGCTCAACAATGTGGCAAATCTCCATCAGGGACGTTGCTTTTCCGAGCTGAAAACAATAAAAGTATGCATAATTCATTTTTTTTCCGGAAGAACATATTCGTCATATTTATCTATTTATTTTTTGACAGATGCTTAACTAGAGAATTAGTGCTTCCCACTTTTAAACATCAAAAATGATATTTCAATTATTGCAAACGCATGAGTTGTGTGCTGCAAACGTGTGGATGTGTTTTAAAATTAATAAGTGGAACCTGTAACATGTCAAGAAAAAATACAGGATACTGATCAAATTCGCTTTATTTTTCTGGCATTTTCGGTCATTTTTTTTCTATTTTCTTTATTAATCAGTCACTGAATATATTTTTTTGGATTTTTTCTGGGATTTTTAAGACATTTCCAAACCTTCCATAAAAATTTCCATAGAGAATCCTAAAATGTCTGATATTCAATAATTTATGTATTGTTTGGCTGTTTTTTTAAATGTTTTCAGTTTCAAATGTTTTTACTTTTTTTATACCCACTTTTTCTGCCGACAGGAGTTTGCTGTCATATATCCACTTTTTCTGCTGACAGGAGTCGCGTAAATACTGTTTTTTAGATCGTGCCGAATACAACGGCGAATCAACAAGATATATGGCAACACGGGTTGAAACTATCAATTATGGTACAAAAAACGGAATTACAGTATCGGGTACTAGTGGTTATGTTCATGGAAACATTCCGAACATTTCGTTTGCACATAACGGTTTGTTTTTAACGAACTTCCCGAAAGTCAATTTTTGGATCTCTTGCAAGAATGCTGGCAATTTTCATGTTATGCTGATTTTGCATTCAATTTTCTAAAATTTTTTTTCAGGGAATGGGGGGAATGAATTCAATCCAGTTGCTACTGAAATTGATCGATGTCGATTACGAACAAACAATATACGAGCAAATTGCGGCGGAGGAACAGCTAATGCAAGTACACGTGATTGCACTAATCATTGCTTTCAAGCTGATTTCTTGGAATCCCCAACAGCAGCTATTTTTAACACCGTACGGTTATCGGCGGTTTCTACAACCGGTAATAGTTCTTATTAATCTAAAATGTTGAATATCTACTTGTTTTGCTTCACAGTGGTAACCTGAAAATAGTGCCATGAGATTGAATAAGTATAATATTTCTCTCTCGCAAAATATTTTGAAGAAAATAACCTTCATGCGAATGCATTGAATTTTAATATGTCTCCTCATACAGTCTAATCTGTAATTGAATTAAGAGGATCAGCTCAACCTCTGAGCTGCATTTCTAGCTTCTTCGCATGTTTACACCTTGCAAAAGCATGTCCCATCATACATTGCAGGATGAGACAATTCTGGTAATATTGTGATAAGCACCTTTTTATGATTGGCAACTTTATCCTCTTTTCACATTTGTCCTAGATATAGTTCTGAGTACACTCAACACTCGTAGTTAAATTGCTTGATGACTGCTTTCTTTTTGCAAAACTTTGTTAATGATTCAGGAACGGAAACTACGAACTGCAGATTTCAAGAGTTGTCTGCATTTTTCGAGACAACATGACAAAATTCTTTTGTTATTATTCAAGATTTTTTTTTTTATTTTTCGAAGTGATGGTATTAAGTTACAAAAGATTACTTTGCTTCTGCAAAAACAAGGACTAACATGGACAAAAACTTGTATGTATTTGTAGATGCACATTCATTGCCGCAAAGTAATATTAGCGGTGGGGCAACAACTATAAGTGGAACCGAACGAAGCCCAGGCAATATGTTATCCACTTTATCTACTACTGGCACTCAGCATTCTCGTTCCTTAACTTCTTATGATCCTTATGTTAACAACAGTTTTACTACATCTGCCGCGACCTCTTCTAATACCGTATTTGCTTTCAACAATAATTCCGTCCTTACACAATCAAATTTATCCACAAGTCCGGTGAACTGTGCTACAGAAATCCTACATGTCGCTCATAACAAAGAAAATGGCGGCAGTGGTAAGTGAAAATACATTTGTCTTGAGTGCCGCAGGGCTTAGTTAGATTTCTTTAATATAGCATACTTTGAGAATTTACTCCTTTATTCTTTGATATTTCTCATTCACTGATACTCTTTCATTTTGAGTAAATATTTTTAGACACAACAGAAAGTATTGAAGACTGGCAGATGTTTGCACCGTTTGTGGCCCATGACGATATGATGCAACTATCAACAGATCTGCAAGGACTTTTACCGGAATTTAGCGTTGTTGATTGGGTACCGTCAGATCCAGCGCCGTTAACAAGTTTGCCTGTTGAAGAAAGAGTAAGATGAAAAATTTATTAAGAATCAGGAATGTAAAAAAAAAAAACTGAACTATTAAAAGTTTGTAAAGATGTGCTGCTAAAAGAAAGGAAGAGTAATAGACTAGCAAAATTTTCAAGTAAAAATTTTCTTATGCTGAATTTTACTCTATTTATTTTATAATGTTTTAGAGTGTCGCACTATTGGGGAATGTATCGATACCAATGCAAATGGCACTTGAACGATCAAATGTATACGCAAATTCTGGCATTTCACTTCTTTCAAAACCAAATCCTTTTGGTCTTACGGGTAAGTTCATTTAGCCGTTTAAAGTGATGTAACATTTGATATCTTAAAAACGGACGGTACAGTTGTAAATCCTTCAGCTACTTCGTGGCGACAATTGCAACAGCAATATCAGCAACGTCACCATGAAAATATGAATGCTGAAGCAACAACAGCTGCAACTGCAACTCCATTGTTGGAAGTAGAACTTGCAGCAACATATACTTGATCTAATGATTATTCAACTGGACTGTTCCATCGAAATAATTCGACTGCTTCTATACAGCAATAGCGATGATCATCCAGATTACATTTGAAGTTACCCCAGTGAGATAAGTCTGCGTTTTGATTGGACATGTAGCAATTTTTGTGCCGTACATATATATATTTGACGTTAGCATAATTTAGTTCAATATTATTTTCATTATTGTCGAACGCGTGAAACTTTCAGCTTGTTTTTTTGTTCAGGTTTGTTTTTTTTTTTCGTTTAATCTGTAATATAAATTGAAATGAATGTTTGATGTTATGTTCTGTTAATGAAATGTTTTCCTTTAGTTTGTTACTAATTTTTTCCAGTGTCTGCGTTTTTATTGGACTTTTTTTCGACGGGTCGGTTTTGGCTACTATCATTATTTTCAGAAAAGTTGGGCACCATGACTAAAAACTTCCTGCTTTGAAATAATCAAAAAGTTTCAGTTATTGCTTTAAAAATATTGAGAAAGTTCTCTAGAAACAGAAAGAAAATCCCATTATGGTTCCCCGTGGAAGATTCTATTTTACGTTTGATTTTGTAAATTGTTGAAGGTACATAACAGGTGCCATATGTTTATATCTTTCATGAGAATTGCTTGTCCTTGTCCTAATTTTGACTTTTCGATTTTTCAAACTTCCCTTTCTGTTTCAAATTTATTGAAAGTTCTAAAAAAAAAAGTTTGTTCCTTTTCTATCTTCTTTTTTTTCTCCGTCAAGTTTAGTTCGATTCAGTTATGATTCTTACTGCTATGTGTTCAGTGTTTTGAGTTTGATTCTTTTTTGTTTCATTTTTTGTTTTAACCGGGTAGCATGCAAGCTATGTATTCTTGTCATTTTGTTTCAGGTTTTAATCGGTGAAGTTGTTTGCTTGAATTTCTTAAATGAAAAGTGCTCTTTCCACTGTTATCATTTTTGTTATCCATTGGGTATAGCAAACACAAATTATCTAAAAATCAAATTATGTGCAACAGCTGAGTTATGTGTAATTGCTCAATTTGTTGTGGACAGCGCAGTTTGAAAATTCTTTCGATTGAAAAATAATGTTATCTAAACCAATGAAATCTCAGTTTTTTCAATTTTTTCGTTGTGATTAAAAATTTTGGTTGTTTTTGGTAATATTTTTTGATCTAATTATTTCAATTACGGATATATTTTCCAAATGATTTTCTTTGTTATCAGTTCAATAATTCTTGAAATCAGTGAAATAGCTGAAAATCTTCTGATTCTTTTTTCTTAAGTGGGTGATTGATTTTCTCCTATACATTATCGTTTCAATTGAAAAAAAAATAAGAGATCACTTTTTAAGGGGTTTATTCATGTTAATATCTAAATTTATTCTTGTTTCATTCATCTGCTATACCCAAGGTATCGTACAACTGTGCATTTTTTCCTCAAAATTTTGCCATTCTTAGTGAAATTGTTATTTTACCATCAACTAATTAAGATTCTTTATTAGTATGGTTTTTTTTTTCTTTTATTTCAAGAAAAGTTGTTGTACTTAAACTCATTTGCTACTGTAAAAAAAAGCTATTTATAACAATAGTGCATCAATTATTTTATCAAATCTTTATTGTTGAAAACTATTCATATCCGGTATTTATGAATTTGTCACATAGATCCGGTATACCTCAATGAAATATTTATTTCCATGTTCATTTGTTTCTTGATTTCTTTTACTGTTGAAATCAGGGAATAAAATGTTTTATTATCATTTTACCTATATGAAATGCCTCACTTGCACTCTTGTTCTTGTATGTTTGGTAAAATCTCATACGTACGAATAAATTAATACCATTATCTTTTTAGTTTTGAAAAACCTAATTATTTTTTTCACTTCGTAGGTTCATTTTTTTGCCAATAATTTAATCATTGAGTAATTTGTTATTATTACAAAGGATAAAGAAAAATTCTTTAATATACTAGTAGATTTTTCTCAGTCTGATACGAAGTAAGTATTGGGAATATGAGATGTGTTTATGCAAATTGTCGAAGAAATATTTTAAATAATTTCAAGACTATTCGAATGCTTCTCTGTTTTTTTAATTTGGTTAAGATTTATTCTCTTCTATAATCTAGATAGTGAAAAATTGGATCTCAGAAATTAATATAAATTAATTTTATTTTTGAGCTTCCACTGGTGAATATTTTGACTTTGGATCGATCAACTACCAATAGAAATTGGTATTCGACAAAAAAAAAAATGTTAAATATGTAAGTATATAGTAAAAGAAAATCTATATCATGCAATATTCGATCTATAATTATAGGATTTATCTTTTTCCGGCATCCAAATTTTATGTGGTGAGAAAGGAAAAAAAAAATTAAACGATTACAATGCGATATTGTGTTACAGTTGGTCGAGGTATGGAACCGTTCGTAAAAAAACAACTGGAACAAATTCAGGTAATGTGTTTCACTATCCCTATCATTATTTTCTGTAAGTAACGTGCGAGGATAACAACAATAGTGGACAATAGAACAGAGATTCATGGAAGATTCAACTTGGTTGAAATATTGTCCCAAGAACAAATTAGTAATGCAGTAATTAAAGAGTAGACGATATTATTTATATTTTGGCATCGAAATGTTGATGTTAGATCGGTTCCGATGGACGTATGTCATATCAAGCTGAAACGTTTCTTTATTTTTCTGAACGAGCGAATTATTTTGTTATTCTGATGTAGAATACTGTGTTTGACCGATTGAGAAAATTAGGATTAAGATTATTATTGGAACAAGACATTGTTAGAAATAAATTAGTTTTACCCTTCTTCTAAATATCATTGAACAAAAATACTGAAAATGCTTGCAGGATGTAAAAATTGATGCAACTACTGTGGAAGGAAAAATCCTGTTTAATGCGAGTAATCCCAATAACCTGTATAATTTACGGTGTGCTGAAAGATTGTTCTTAGTTTCAGCTTATGAAATAATCGATCGCAGTTGGAGCAAACGACGTAATTAATCAATAGTTCTTGAATAATTCTTGTTCATAACCAGAATAATTCTTGTTCATAATTTTGTATAACTTCTTAGAATACCGGTGACTTTTCTGTTTTCAAGAACTGTTCGATAAGCTGTTCACCTTATGTGATGGGAATTCCTTATTGAATTCTACTTGTGAAGCAGCTTTTAATTGTTTACTTCGTTACGAAGAGTCGATACACAGCAGAACTTTCCGTGTATCGCTCAAAGCAACTGGAAAATGGCGGCGAAAAATTGATACTGAGGTATTCCGGTATTAATTTTGATACTGAGCTTAATTTGATTGCTATAGTTTTGTCCTTTTACTAGTGAACTTTTACTGCTTTAATCATTTCATTCTTAAAATTATGGCAATATTAGAACGACGATAAATCAACCTGAATCTATCTGTTCTTACCATATTTTGCTAACTCTCTTGATTTTGTCCTTCGAAGTGTGAAGTCATCTATTCTTTTTCTTAAGATTTTTCAACTGTGTTATAAATGTTGCACATGCTAACTTTCAAAGAAAACTATTCATATCATTGGTTAAGTCTATGTATTTTAGCTAAAAAAATTTCAACTTTAATTCTACAGAAACTCTCTGCAAGTATCGCTCGTCGTATCAAGCAGATGTCTGGTTTTAAAATATCGCTTCATTTTACTGCTATTGAAATTTGTGTACATTTATCAGAAAAATACATCTTTATTGGTATACCAATTACTCGGTTAGTATTATAACTGAATGTTTTTCTCATTTTGGAAGTAAGAATGAAAAAGAAAGAAATCTAATTCCAAATATCGCGCTACTCAAATGCTTATCCTATACTGTCTTCAGTTCAAAGTGTTTTCTTGCTTCTTTTAGGCAAATATTTTTAAATAACATTACCAAATATTATATAAAACTTAACACAGGCTTTTTTGAATTTTTTTTTTTGGTGTTCATAATTGCTAGCTATGATCAGTGTGCAACACGGCATTTTCATTACAATACTCTTCGAATTGCAGAAAACGTTTATCTCAGAGATGTTATTTGCGGAACAATTCATTGCGTTCAACTGTTGTGGATGCAATGTTATCAATGGCCGATATTCAAGATGGTGACATTGTTGCTGATCTGACCTGTGGTTCTTCTTCCATTTTGCTGCAGGCTGCACATGATTTCCAGAACAGGGGAAGCTATATTCTTTGTTTCTGGAAAAAAAAAATATTAAATTAAAAAGCTTTTGCTTTTTATATGGTCATTTTGAAAAGGATAATTTTTCCACAAAAATTGATTTCAGTAGTTTCAGGAACTTTTATCTTGTAGAAAAATGAAAATTCTTGAATCAAATTTTTTCCCAATAATCTTTCATTTATAAATTAGTTCTACTTCATATCACTAGCAGATTCTTGTTCTGATCATTAAGAATAAAAGATGAATTTGTCAATTTTTGTCCCATTTCTTTCGTAGATTTTTCATTTTCATATATCTATTGTATTACAAATAATAATTCATGTTAGTTTTTGGAACCTTAGTACTTTTAGGTTTTTCTTTTGGGTGTTGATTTCTCTTGGGATGCTTTACAACAGTCACTGAAAAATGTGAATTATTTACAAAAAAATGATAATGCAAATTTATCGATCGACTTACTTTGCATGGACGTGTTTAGCGGTGAAATTTTACTACATTTTTATGTCCTTTGCTGGTGATATATCTGTAATTATGAATCTGGTATAACCGAAAAGAGATATAGGAGGATATTGGATCATTCATTCTGACCTTCCTCTCGACGAATTTTACTAATGATTTAAATCATCTACCGTTAGTTGAATGGCTTAAAGGATTATGCTCAGGTAGTTAATCAGTACTTTTTGATACATCGCTATAATTCAATATTCGCTAAATATTTTCCCTATTCTGAGTAAACTAGTTCGAAAGGCTAGTAATATATTTCTATATTATCAATGTGATATTTTAGATTGTTTGAAATATTCAGTGATTGATCACATTATATCAGATATTCCGTTTGGTCAGCGCTATGGAACGGATCAGTCTGCTTTGCGGATTTTGCAAAGTATTTGTGACATTTTCTCGAAGCATGTTTCTTTTTTTTATTTTTCTTTTCAAATCCTATGAAATTTAGCGAAAATCGAATTTACTCTGTGATGAATAGAACTAATTGCCTTACTATATTGATAATGTGAGCCTTTTCCAAATAAGGTCCATATCTGAATTAGACAATTATATTCCACATTACGCTGCGTTGAATGATTTAAGCATTGTAAAATCCGAAAGTTTTATTTATTCATCAAAGAATTAAACTGTCGGGTAATTCCGGTAAATCAATTCCCAGTGTGGTGGCATATCTACCTTAAACATTGTTCCGGGTTCACGTTATTGTTCATCAAATCGACCACTTAATCAGTTCCTTTCCTGAGAGCATTAGTGGTGAAAATAAAGTTGAAGGACAAGAAAATGAATATATAAAAATTTAAAAGAAATGCTGGGAAAAACGTCGATAAGGTTGGCAATTTTTTTAAAGCAATCCATTTAAAAGCTAACTTTTATTACTGAAGCTGAATTACTTGAAACAAAAAAAAAAATGCTCCGTGGTTTTTGATTGTTTGAACTATATTGGAGAATAATTACGGGTGGAGCCAAATGCAAATAAGGCAAGCAAGCTTATAGGGCTGTCTTTAGGGCCGTAAGTGCATGTGATCAATATGAGTCACAGCAGACAGCAAGATTCATTCACAATTCCTTTAACTGCGTAGTGTAAGAAGTGTTAGTTAAAAAAAATAGATTAGTTTTAAGTTGATATATGAATTTAATTTTGAATCAGTTAACGTTGGCGTGTCGAAATGATTGGCTTGTAGTTCTTTTGCCTTTTTTCACCAGAAGCAATTAATTTTCCATATATTTCTAACCTTTTATTACATAATTTATTGTCCGCTTCTTGAAAAGACTTGGATGAATGAAAAATTGATTTTGTTTGATGAAACGAGAATCATGATTTCTGGATAGTTATGCGGTTAGAAGGAGACTTAGATGAGAAGTTTTGAATGAAGTTTTTGCTTGGTCAACGGTTCACCCTTTTATGTTTTCACAGAAATATTCTCTCTTCAAAAAAGAAGAACTATTTTATGTTTCGATTCAAACAAAATTGAAGTGTATGAAGTTAAATAAACTGATAGACTAAAACGAACAAGTTGTTGAAATACTCAAAACTCACCTTAGTTCATGCCTTTTGCTTTTGGCTTAATCTGTAAAAAAAATAACATTAAAAGTCGCATGAATCCGAATTATGATATTGTATTATGTATCATTACTATAAAACTATGAAATTAAACTTATAATATTTGACCAAAGAGTTGTATGGTGATAATAATTTTTATTCGCATTTATGATGTTTTTAATTTGCAGCTGCAGCAATGGTAATAATAGTTATATTTCGACAGCAATACTATTGATCTCGGCTATGCATCTGCCATCGTTAAACAACATGCTCAAATTGCCAGCATGTCTAAAACAGCATTATCCTATTTCGCTTGGCACAACGCAAGCTGTTATTGTCCTTCTTACTCATGATAAGAAATGAAACGACGATAAATATAGGGTTTGATTCTAATTTAATTTTTCCTTTTTAATTTGATTAAATTTATATTTTTGTTTGTCAAATGTAACCAGATTTATATATGATCCAGATCTACAACTGAGATAGCTAATGTGCTGAGTAGGATTTTTTTTTCCTTCTGAAATATGACTTAGCCAATTTTTCTACCGAACTTTAGGCAAACAATAGCTGATTTTTATCAAAACTACTGCAAACAAATAAATAATTTAAAATGATGGACAAATAAATTATTTTAAAATGCTGAGATCATATTTCAGTAATTTTTTATACTACTTGCACTATAGCCAGCTGTACTCATTTCATATTTTGATTTGACGTTTTGCTAATATGCTACATATATTAAAATGATCTTACTGCATACAAAATCTTCCTATCCTGACTGGATCGCAAATTCGGGAGTGTTTTTATGTTACACAGACTTTCTTTATATTTTTACAATCTTTAGATTTGCTTTCCAGAAATAAACATTAAATTTTTATGCTAGAAAATGATTTGAGAAATACCCAACAATATTTGATTTGTCAATATTTGGCAAAAAAAAAGCAGCATAAAAATTGATACTTTTTATAAAAGAAAACACAAAATGTTTTATACCCAAATTTGTATGAATGGATAGATTGTTAGTGTTTTCATCATCTTTTTTTTTTCTTTTGAACAGCGTTACCAGCACAATAATGCTTATCACATATTGGTCTAACTCTGCTATTGTCCATTATTACATCATTATTAGAGTAGGTTTTATTTTTTCACACATTTACGTCAATATAAGTTATATTACACATATATCTTATGAATTTTTACAAATGGAATGAATTTTTTTTTTTTTTGGTTGTAATGGAAAATAAATTGCTTCTTCGTTTTTCGCTAGCATACATACACATTGGAAAGCGATGGAAGAATTATTTGTGAGATTGCCGTCCTCGCTTCCGATTCTCGCTAGCTAGAGTTGGGCGCAGTGTTAAGGGAGAAACAGCTGGTTGTTCGCGTTCATATCACCGTCACCTTCAACATTTAACATTCAGCGTAGTTTGCCTGTATAGCTCGCCAAGCTTTCATCTTGCTTACTCGCTTTTCTCTATCACAATTGAATGTTAGCTATGCTATCAGGTCTAGTATGCATTATTTTATTATATCCCTATTATAATGCTAATTTTCTCCATTTCTACTGATAAATAAGTAATCTTATCAGGATTACTCTTTTGATTATTTTTAATGTCAGTTCTTATAATTTAAATATAAATTTTAACCTATTATGCATAACGTAAATGTGAACTTTTTCTAATTACGACTAACATAATTTTATAATCTATTTGTTTTTTTAAAACAAGTTATAGCACAAATTAGGTGATTTAATTTGGTATTTGAAATGAATGCAATTTGCATGTTCAATTATGATCCGCTATTTAGATTAAATTAGATGTTTTAAACATTGCAAAAAAAATATTGTAGGTATAATTTTATTAGACGCAATTATTCTTTAAATTGCAAATGATGAAGATTATTTGTTAGGTAAATTTATTTAGCATATCTTTTGCTTTATTAGCTATGGAAATAAGTTCAAATCTTGTTTGCTCTATTAACGTGAGTATAAGTACAACAACGGATAATGAATTTAAAGATTGGAAAATCTAATCTTTCTAAATAACACTACATAATTAATGATAATAAAATAAATTTCACCATCATGCTTTATGCACAACTATTATTATCTAAATAGTAAATGCAATTTTGCACTTTTTCTGATTTTTGCTACATGAATTTCACGAGTGAAATAAGTGGTAGAGTGTTACGGTAGTAATTAGCAGTCTTAAATAGTTAGATTCCTAATGCCAATTCACTAATACGATTTCATGTTTTAACAAGTATGCAAATTTTAGTTTATTTATTATGGTAGTTGGAAGGATTACGAGGAAATAATGATAGTGAAATAGTGTTATGACTAATTATAAAATGATGCAAACAAAGAGAAGTGCAGAATGATCATATAATCATTAATTTCGTCGTTTATTTCCTTCATTTATTTAATTATTACAATCCTTGAGTTCCAATTTCATATGCAATTAGTAACAAGCTGAATACGAATCATCTGAACTATCAGTTTATAGTAATTGTTTGTCTGTTTTGAATTTACAATGATTATAAACAATAATGTGATATCCAATAACAAAAACTATTCAAGAATGAATTAGATAATTTATATTATAATATCAAGATTATACTAACAATGGCATTGATTGATAATTCCGGTAAACTACAGAAAACATTATCAGGGATGAAAAGAATAGTTCTTGAGGTAGACGAGTACTTCAATTTATATGAATGTCTTTTGTATTACTAGGTAATAAACTTTTATCATTAATGCATGAATAATTAATGGATTTAATCAACGACAGACTAGTGGATCGAGATCTCTCAGGAAAAGAATACACAGATGGTTGTTTTAATAACTAAGAGAGAGGGTATGTATTGTGTGACCTTTCGAAATTTCAAATTTCTAAAATTAAAGATATTGTTTATGATTTAGTATCCACTGTTAAAATCGATATAAAATGTTCAAATTGATGGGTTGTTTATGAGCATTTCCTACAGTTAATGCTTTATCAGTTACTGAAGAGTTTTCAAAGAATATTTACAATATTTTCATTGATAATAAACACAACACTTAAACTGTCTTTTGTATTCAGAATTAGCAAACATTATATAATCTTTCGTTTTCCCTCAGTATCACTACAGCTTATTTTCATTATTTTATCACTTCTTTTTTACGATTAATAACGATATGAACTACTAATTAATTAATTGCTATAATTGCTTATCTTTTCGATACTCCACAGCTCTTTATTTACTAGAGTGAGGAATAGGAATAAAAAAGGTCAATATAAAAAGAAGAAAAAAATACTGATAATATAACAGTGCAACGTCTGATAGCATTCCTCTGAAGTGTGACATCAGTTAAGGAATTCATTCTTTTTTTTTTTCTTTTTAATAAATCCTAAATAAAATTTCCTATATGCTAATGCAAACATTATCATATAAAAGAAATGTTTAACTATTTACAATTGCAAATATTATACATATATAAATACATATATAAATATTGTAAGAAATATATTCACATTGCATGCATGTGTTTATATGTGTATGTTAAGATATGTGGTTGGATACATAATGTATAGAATTTTTGCATAGCTATAACATTTTAAGTTTAATGAATAATATCACTACATACAACATTTTTGTGATGCGAAGTTTTAACATTGAATATATTCATCCCTCATCGACCGATCTTTTTCACCTTTACATTTACTAATGTTTAATTTTCAGGATGAAAATGTTACTATAAATTTAAAGAAGAAGGAAGAGAAAGAAGCAAGAACGTGTACTATCATTGAGGGTATGTTTTTCATTTTGAAACATTTAAATTCGAATAATTTATTCAGATTAAAAATATTAATTTTTTGAATAATTCATTCAGATTAGAATTTAATTTTACAATGTAATCGTATTGCAATTTCTTTTAGCTTCATATCTTCGAAGAGTGGAAACGAAAAATTTTTCTTTGCTATTATTATTATTTGCTTTTCTAAATTTCAAAGAAAAAAATGAACAAAATGATGAGTTCAGTTTGTTCAAACCATTTCACATTTATGGTAAATAAATATAAATGACATGTTATTATTGATGTATAATCCCTTCTCTCTACGTTTCCTTCCAAAAAAAGTATATTGAAATAATAGTAACAATATTCTTTCCTTTTCCATTGATAACAGGAAATGAATTCGTTTTTCAAATGGATCTTAATCATCTACTGCTATTTTTTGTTAATTTTTTCAACTCATTTAAGCAGCATTATCTTCAGTCAGAAGTTAAAGAAAGTTTGAAATCATGAGGGTAAATTTGAAAATATCGATTCAGATTTACGAATCACTGCTGCAATTTTAGGCGGAGCTAAATTTAGTTCGTGTTGATTTTATATTAGTATAAATTAATTTATAATTAGATGTAGCACAGTAGTGAAAAAAAGTCATTGTTACTGGAAAATCATTCTTGCTCTTTAGCACATTTATTTAAATTGATAACAAATATTTTACGGTCTGCATAAAATAATTCGCTACTTGCTCTGACTTATCAACTAAGTTTTAGTGACTTCAAATGCGCTGTAATCTTAATTTTTAGGAAATCGCATAAGAGAAGATAAAATTCTTCGTTCATTATCGTAAAAGAAAATAAAATAAGTAGTATCATAAAATCGTTCATATATACACTTCATTAATTTGCATAAAACGAATAAACTAACTTGAAATGAATAACTTTCAGATTTAGGCCAGTGGTTCTCTATAATATATTATTAATTTTCAAACTTACATTGACAACGGCAACTTGTATTTTGTAAACTTATTGTTTCACTTAAATATTATCTGTTAGTATTTTATACTTAAATCACTGTGCTAATAATTTTATGGTCAGATTTTGATAGAAGAGCACTTGGTACAAACACTAACAGATAGTATTTTGTTATAAGAAGAGCATTTAGTCAATCATCCAATTATTGTCTTTTTGTAGATCGAATATTTAAAAAAAGAATCATAATTTGAATTATTTTATGATCAAAATTTATAGGCATCTATTAGAATGACATCATGATGTGGCTTCGACGAACAGCATGCCTATGTTCCATACACTGTATTTTAATTACTGCAGTGGTCATTTGGTCATCAGTCTTCTTTTATCTTTCATTCAGCCTGTACGGTTTACAACCAAAAGGTTGGTTCACTATATTAAAAAAAAAAAAAAATGATAAAAGCAAGTATAGATATATATGTATAAGAGAGTCGAAAATTTTATTGATTTAAAATTTAATCTGGCAAAGTAGACAATCTTTATTTTTTTTTTTGTCCACAGAAGCAGAGAATCGTTTTTAACATTACTTTGCTAAATTTTCTCCTATCTCTTTTGTTTTAACTTTATTATCCAAAAATATTTGCATTTAAATACTTTCTGTAATCTTCCCTCTTTCTCTCTCTTTTATTGTGATATTAATTACATTTCAGGAAAGGATGTTAATGAGCAGCAAACTCTGGCATTAAATTATGAGCAAGCTTTGTTAAATTTAGCAAAAGTAAAGGATGAAAATGAAAAACTTCGTAAAATGTTAGAAGCTGTAAATATGATGGGAAGGAAGAAGTTGACTATGGGGAAACGGGATAGTTATGTAAAAATAAACAGTGAATTTAAAAATAAAGAAGAGCGAGTCAATAGAGAAAAGAATGAAACTTCGTTATTTCCGTCGTCGAATGGCTTTTCATTGAAACATGAAGTAAGTATTTTTGCTATTACTGGCCTTCAAATTTGTCTATTTTATAATCAAGCGACAAAATCAGTCGAAAGAGAAGGGCTGATTAAATAGAAATAACTGAGCAATTCTGATATTCAGTTTATTCTGATATTCACTTATGTGAACAGTGACTTTTTATTGTGAATATTGATATAATTCTTGAAAATACTATTGTTATCTTTAATTAACATTCAAGGAATAATTGTTGAATTGAAATATATTTAGATAGTGAGACGTGAGCTGCATAATTCAATATGGGAACTGTATTATTATCTTGACAGTCAACTTTCATCAATTCACAGTAATAATTCTGCATTCATAAATCATACACGCAATCAGGTAGAATATATTTTTTGTGTACTTTGGAAGAAAATCATTTAGAATAATCTTTGCAGTTGCTTTCTTTACTTGGTCAAGCGGCAGCATTCAAAAATGTTGACTCAGAAAGTTGGCGAACAAATGCACTTGCAAATATTTCTGCAAGATTTCAAAATTATTTTGACAAAATGCAGAATCCTGACGATTGTAAAGCTGCAAAGTATGTAGTCATTATTCATTAATTTTATCTTTTTATGCAGTTAATTAATACAGCTAAAACAAGTAATACAGTTTGATCGAAATTAAATAACATTAGACTGAAAACTCTGTTGGCTAAACCTAGAAACTAAAATATATGTGTTTTTTCTTTGTTAACTTATTTTTGCAGTATGTCAAGTTTTGTTTTCTATTATTTCTTATTATGAATTGGATTTGGGAAGAAATTTTGAATTCGCTAGCGATAAACTTAAATTTGTCTCGAATGTTCTACTGATTTAGTAAAAACAAAAACAGATTTTAGGAAATTCATAAATATAAAAGCAGATTTTAAGGAATGTCACATTTATTCTTATTTTCTGCTGCAATGAAGGTTTAAAAATGGATAGATATTGATATGAAATTTGATGATTAATGCATTAGCTCTTCAAATATTCGTAATTGTTATTATCAGAGTTAGTGTCATTGCTCATTATTCAGTATTACATACATGTGCGCTTATCTAATATGAAAGTAATCTTTAATTATAAGTTGTTTTGTGATTGATATAGTCGAGATGATATTATCAAATATTTTATGTATTATCTTTTAATTCTTCAGAAATTTTTGAAATTTGCGGATAAAATTTGCAGAATTTTAACATGTGATTTGAATAAGCCTTGTGGTTTCGCCTGTCAGCTACATCACGTTACGTATTGTTTTATTGTTGCATATGGTTCAAACCGGACACTCGTTTTAAAGGATGATGGTCATAAGTGGAATTATGCCGCAAACGGCTGGACCACTGCTTTTCTTCCAGTTACCAAATGTTCATTTTCGGAGATTTTCAAGGTTACTATAAGGTTCTGAAGCGAGAAAATTTTTACATATTGTTTTCATTTTGAATATATTTCATTTCGAAAGAATATATTTTGAATATATGCAAGATTATTGATTTAAAAAGGTTTCAGTTTTTTCACCGTTGATCTTTCTAATTTTTTTTTCTTCATTGACTTGAGGATTTTTGCCCATTATATTGCTTCATATAAATAGTATGAGCTTCTGATATTGAAATATGAAATGAATTCTAACTGATATTTCATTATTATTTGTTAACCAGTATGGATATCACCGATGGAATTTCATTTCTACTGTGACCTTGATATATTTTGAAATTTTGGAGATACTTTAAAAATTGAATTTTCAGCCTAATGAATATGCTGCCGATTGGGGTATTAGTAAACATTACTGGGATAAACGAATAGTAAAATTATCGATTATTGATTCACTTCTTCACCCAATACCTTATCTTCCACTTGCTATCCCGCGGTCATATAGTGATGAGCTACTAAAGCTACACTCCAGTGCTCCAGCATTCTTCATTTCACAGGTTTATTTTTTTGCTAGTAAACAATAATGTGCTTCAAAAATTCAATAATTGGTTGTATCAATAAATTTTATAAATTAATACTTGTTGGTCACTTCTCGTGCAATCAATATTGGTTGATTTATTTATGATATTATTTTAATAATCTAGTATTTTTTGATTTTTTAATATTAGTTTGAAAGGTTGCTTTCATTACTTATTTCCATTTATTTAATATGGTTAAATTTTTGGATTCAGCATATGAATTGGACTAATGTGAAATTGATCTGATCAAGGTTGGAAGGTTTTATTATATCCATTGTATGCTCAAATCAATCTCAATGTAAACAATGAAAGTTTTTATGATAGATCATGATGAAAAATCATTGAATCTGTTTACAGTTTATACGATATCTAATGCGTCCATCAGCAGTATTTGCAAAGGAAATTGATCGGGCTGTAAAGAAAGTACCGTTTAACAAAGGTTTGAAAATTGCTTGAGAATACCTTTTGAATTGTTATGTAATACTTATGGTATACGTTTTGTATAGACCTTTATTACTCGTTAGCAAATAATAATTTAAAAGTTTCCATACATAGGCATAGTATAACCAAATGGATAGATCCTTTAGAGCATCATATATTGAGACAGATCAATCTACTCATCAATAAAATTCGAATTTATTACTTAGGATTGCATGGCGAAACTGATGTTTGCTAATTTGCTGTCATGAATCTTAGATTTGAAATGAATCTATTGATCAGTCTGAGAGAGGAGAATAAAAACATTGTGACATTTTTATCAAATTTTTGATTTATTTTAAGGACCAATCGTTGGTTTGCATATTCGTAGAACGGACAAAATTAACACCGAGGCATCTTTTCATGATTTGACTGAGTACATGAATTGGACAGAAAATTGGTTCCGGATCGAAGAATATCGTACACAGTCATCGGTTAAGAGGCGAATTTATATTGCGACTGATGATCCAGAAGTTTTCAATGAAGTTACAATGAAGTCCGTTATTCATTCTCTCTCTATCTGATCTTTTTAGTTTTATTAACTGTAATAATTGTTTTTTGTTGAATGGCTGATAATTAAGCTTGTTTTTTTCAAATGAGTAATCTTTGGTCCCAAGTACCA